TTAGCAGCAGAGATGAAGAGAGTGACGAAAAACGATTACAGGCCTGGGAATTCTGTGCTGATTTGATTCGTCCATTGACTTCTTATTCCACCCCGGCTGCTCCGTTCTATTTTGTTCTGTTCGGTTCTGTTCTGTTCTGGCCAGGATCTCACCTGACTGGGCCTCCAGCTGTGCCCCAAGACGTATGTGAGCTCGAATGTGGCTGTGATCCAGGGGGCTGTCAACAATGTGCATGATTTCTCTCCGGTCGAAGCAATCCCAGATTCTGACACGGCAATTAGAGTGCAGCAGAGGGGCGGCGGGGGCGGCCACTTCTGCCTATTAGTTATTGAAATCAGCTGTCAGAAAGTTCCGAAAATTGCACAAGTCCCAACTGATGACTGGAATGGCATAAATGCCACAGCCGCAGAAGCACTCACACACACTGCGAGAAATCAAGGAAGTGTCGAGCGAACTTCGGCACGTCTCAGCTGGAATCGAAATTTCCGATGGCGTTTCCCACATGCAAAATAGATGTTCGATGGGCTTTGGCGAGTGTAGAGTGGCCAAGAAGGGTGGATCCCTCGACAGCCACTCACAAAAATGGCCGACGTGACCATTGTAACCTGTTCGCCACAGACGAACGCTCGCTGGGGTGGACCAAAAACATTCTTATAAATTACATATAACATATTTAATTTGAATCCTATTTAAAGTAATGCAAACTAGTTGGTGAAAGATGTAGTTCCCCGCCTATGAGATATATTCATTGTATCCCCTCCTAATATATTAGAACAGTATTAGATCCACCCCAATGCAGGCACATGCACTCAGATGGAGAGATACACATATGCAAAGGACACGGGTTTCTGGGGAACGGTTGATTTGATTGCCGAGCGAGGAGAGCGAAGAAGAAAGGACCTCGAGTTTTGAGCTCAGCTGCTGCAGAAAGTTTTCACAATGCCAGTTGGCCAGTTGGCCACCCCCTTGGTCCAAGTGTGAATGTGTGCGAGCCGAGGGCCGCATTTGTTTGCTCTGTTTATAATTCAATTGTAAATGCATTTCAATTACGTGCACATTAAACAGGGCCAGCACAGACAAAGTTTTCGGACTGCGACTTGACCACTGGGCCAGGGAAGGCCAAGACCATGGCCAGGACCATGGCCAGGACCAGGGCCATTACCACGGCCATTGCTGGCCGGAGTCTGAGCCAACTTAGCGAGCGGAACACGCTCCGCATTTAAGGACAATTGGCCCATTATGGCAACGCGTTGAAACGGCAAAATGGAAGTGGGCAAAAAACAAAGAGTGCGATGCAAGAAAGGAGTCGAGTGGCGAGGGGATGCACCCAGGATAACAATGCCATTAACAACTATTACAAATGGCTCTTAAAGGTGCAATGTGTGAACGAATGGCAACGAATGAGCAGCCAAGAGTTTGCTGCGGGCTGAAAAATGGGGAACAAAGTGCGATGATTTGCAAGCGAAGTTCTGGGATGGGAAGTGATGGAAACAGTTTTCGAATAGTTTGAAAAGCGTTGAGCGGCAATTGAAAGCATTGCGCTGTTGATAATGTAGAGCAGTACAAAGGACTAAGAGCCAGGACTCGTTCTAGCAATCTTTAGGGAAACTCTTAATCCACTTTGTCAGTTTAACTTTCCCTTAGGAGCATTTAAATCGGAACAAGAGTGTTTTAAAATTAGTAGAAGCCATATGGCCAGTGCTTAAATTCTTATAGCAATTTTCGTCTGCCAAGCGGTTTTATCCCCATGGGTCTCGATCCGTCCACATCTGCAGCATTGTTAACAAGGCTTAATTGAATGTGAACTGGGCCAAAAAGTCGCCACGACCCCTACGACCCATTGGATTATCGGCAGGGGGCCAAAGCCACCCCGATTGCGTTGAGAGCAGTGAAAACCTGCCCAGTCAGAGGTTAAATGACCTTTTGAGTGCACTTAACCAGGCAGCAAGGCTCAGCCGAGCGTTCCTTGCTTCAAGCCTGTATTGATGTGTCCGTATCTAAGTGTGTGTGTGTGTGTGTGTGTTAGTCCTGCGTCCTGCAACCCTCGCAAGTTTTTTGGGCCGTAACCAAAGCCACTCTAATGAGTCGTCCAAGTCCGAGTCTCGAGTCCCGCCGCATTCACAATTAGCCTCGAGTCCTTTCGGTCCTGCAGCAGTCACTAAAGTGTAACCTGTATTCTTGACCACACTCACTGCCCCTCCCCTTCCCCTTCCTTTCCCTTCCCTTCCCTGCCACGCCCCCACCTTGCCCACAACATCGTCATCGTCTTTGGCAATTAAGCCTTGGCCGACCGTTGACCACGGCAAATGACCGCAGCCAGTTTGCTTTCATTAATTTTTGGTTGTAATCCTTGCTGAAGCTTTTCATTTCATTTTAGTTTTCGCCTCGCAGTTGTTGTTTCACTGCCGCTCTGGCACTGGCTATCGCTCTGGCCAGGACTCCTTCCGGTCTCGTCCTCGTCCTCGTCATCCTTGTCGTGCGTGTGCATAGTTCGGTGCACACTTTTTCACACTTGGTCGTACCTAGTGGGTATGCCCTGTACCCCAAGGGGTTGTATGGGTTCTGGGGTGAAGGAGGAGGGCTTTCATTATATCTCCAGAGCCAATTTGATCATCTACTATAATCCGCATTCATGGCCAGGGGCTGGAACACTCTGAGTGCTTTAATTTTGCAAGCCCCAGTCGTTAAGGTGCTATCTCCTCTGTGTGTCATCACCATTGCTAAATTTAAAAACTACAAATTTCACATTAAATTTCCATAGCTTTTAGTACGAATGAGTTGTGCTTTAAAAGACTAGTATATCAGCTAACCTGATTTTGAAGGTTTCTATGGGTCCTTTGCTTAGACCCCGCTACTCAATAATTACAGTTTTAATTTCCCCGCTGTGATCGCTTTGACCACTCAACCGCAGGTGGCACTTTGATGAACTCCATCGGCGCTCAAAGCGCGGCCATTGTTCTGCCGCCTCTCGCAATCCGAATCCCTTTCAGCTCGCAAATTAAACAATTTACAGGTCACTCCGGAGTCCGGAGTCCGGAGTGCCGAGTCCGGAGGCAGCGACGCCTCGACCGACGGCCTCTTTTTTTGCCTTTTTTGCCGGGGACTGACCGTTGAGTTTTTTGCCACAGTGGTCGTGTTTTTACATCTGGGCCATGTCCTGGCCAGTCAGCTTCGGTAGCCTCAGCGTTAATGACTTTTGTGCTGCGCCCCTTCTGTCTCCGTCGCCTGGCCAAATGTTTTAAAACTGGCCAGCAGTTTTTGTTGCCGCCGCAGCGCCGCTGCTGCTACTGCTGCTGTTATTGTGGGTTGTTGTTTCTGGCGATTGCCGGGCGGTTAGTGCGCCGCGCTGGCCACCGCCCGCAGTGTTTGCCAGGACAACCAGGACAACCGACTCATTTGTACAGGTTTTTTACACACTCCGTCCTTTCGGGGCACAGGAGGAGGCAGAGGAGGGGGAGGGAAAAGGGAATTGTTAATTAAAGTATTGTCTCCTCGTTGCTGGCAAAATGAACAAGTAGGAACAAGGATGGCCCACTAGTCCTGCTCGCTCGTCCTGGGCCGTCAATTGTCGAACATGGTACTCTACAGTTCCACTTAACAGCTACAATGGGCACTTTGCCACAATGAATTCAAATGGATGCCCCCGACGTTCGTTTCTTTTTTTCTCACTGCACCACACACACACACCAACACACACACTCACGGGCTGCAGACTAGCACTCTTTGCGCCCAGAGTGCTACATGTGTTGTTATTGTTGTTTCTGCTGTGTCGCTGCACACACGTACTCACACACACACACACGTGGACATGACGTGCACACAATGACAGCTGACTGTTGGCTTCCAAAAGCCCCCGAGGCCATGTCCACAAACGAGAGGGGGCTCGGGGGGTTCGGGGGTTAGAGGGTTCAGGGGTGAATCGGGCAAAAGGAGGAGCGGGAGCAGGAGGACTCGTAGAGCAGGCCGTGATTCTTTAATGACTGCTTTAATTTTCGGGTTTACCAATTAAAACTACGTGGCAAATGAAAAATACATGCAGTACGGAGCTCGAATAACACAAAGGGCAGAGCGCTTTCCCGGGGGGAAAACCCCTAAAAAGGGGAAATGGGAAATTCCGTTGAGCTAGACGAATGTTTGGGGCACCCACTTGAAGTGTAAATTGGTTGCCCAAAGATGCAATTGCGGACTGGGAATTGCACGAGGCGAGTCGGGAGTGGAATTGAGCTAAATGCACCGGGCAGACAGCTCAAGTACAGTCCGCCAAGTACAGTGAAGTTTGGCAACGTGGCTGGCCGTAAGAGCTCTAGCACGGCAGCCCCGAATTAATTTGTTAAATGGGAATTAAATAAATGAAACGCGGTCACTCGGCGGAGGGAAGCTTTTGGCCCGTTGGAGGAGGATCTCGGAGTGGAGGCGAACAATGGAGGATCCCCTCGAGGGGCAAATCCCGGTGAAGTGCGGCAACGCTTTCCGTTCGCTGCAGTTTGCTCCATTAACCCACCATCGACAGGGCGCAACTTCAGCTTCCGACTGCAGCTGACCAAACATCCACATCCACCTGCCCTCCCTCCTCAGTCGTCCTTCGTCCTTCGTCCTGCGAGCTCTGCCCACAGGCAAACATCCTTGCTTCCTTCCTGCCCTGTTGTTGCAAGCGCGAGCTTCTGCCCTGCACTCCGTGCTCCTCCTGCTTCTTTTTTTGTGAATGTGTACTTCATTTAGCAGGCGAACCTTGTCCAGACTGGCGAGGTAGAGTTCTGAGTTCAGAGGGGGAGGAGAGGGGGAGCTTCCGGAGCACGAGGGGCATTCCCAGCCAGACAGCGCATCCGTGTACACGTCAGCAACGACATTATTGCCGCTGTTGCTGGGTTGTTGCAACGCCATTATAACGCCATCGCCACGGACCAGAACCACCTTGACCACCGCCACCGGCAACTAATTTTTTACACATTTCTCATTTTTGAACCCGCCATCATTCGCTCCGCTCCGCTCTTCCATTGCAGAACGACACGATGCGCCTGCTGTACATGTACCACGGCCAGGATCCGCCGCACGGCTCGGTGCGCCCGGGCACCCTTCCGGATCCGGGCCACGCCTTCCGCCCCTACCGCCCCATGGTGCTCATGCAGCGCGCCCAGCTGCCGATGCCCTCGCCCACGCACGACGAGCGCGTGCGAGTCCTCGAGCTGCGCAACGAGGACGTGGAGCTGCCCGCCGGCGACCTGCCGCTCTTCTGGTGCAAGATGTTCAAGCTGGAGGACATCAATCGCAAGCACCACCTGATCCGGGTAAGCCAAAACCCAGATACCCTGTAAATCGATAATCTTTTATTAGAGATCTGCTTTATAAATAACAAGCTTTAAAATTACCATTTACATGGATATTTTAGTACAGATTAATTTAAAATTAATACACCTGCTTAATTATTTTTTATAATTAAAAGAATTTTGAATATTAATAACGAAATCTCTATTTGAATTAAAATCGTTCATCATAAAGTAGTAAATAAAGTAATAATAATATAAATACAATTTCCAATCTGAAAACCTACTTAATCTTCTCAGTAGCATAAGCTTAAGCCCAACTTAGGCAGTTGTTACCCTTTGGAAAGGATATGCCTAGGTCGGAGCACCGGACACTTTTTGCCTGGGTGCAGGACTAAACGATATTAAATACAATGCATAATTAAGGCCAAGTGCAGTGACGCGCTCCGGCAGTCCGCCTTTGTCTGCCGGTCTCTGCATTCCGGCCTGTCGGTGTCTCCTGGCCTCGGCATAACCAAATTGAAACATTAAAAATTTATTCCCGTCTCGCGCGCCTCGTCTTTCCACAATGCCATCTCACTAACCGTTGTCTCCCATCCGCCGTCCCCCGGCTCATTTTCTTTTCATGGCTGGCAGTACGAGCCGATTTATGATTCATCGTCCAGCGTGCACTACTTGCAGCACATAACGCTGCACGAGTGCCAGGGAGCCCACGCCGAGCTGGAGGAGATGGCCCGCGAGCAGGGACGCCACTGCATGGGCGCCCGCTCCATTCCGCTGGCGTGCAACGCCATCGTGGCCTCCTGGTCGCGCGGCAGCGAGGTAAGCAGAGCATCCGAGAGCGGTATCGCAATCTCCGGCCCCATGACCCCCATTCCCTCACCCCCTAAGCCCCCGAAGCCCCCATAACCCCGTCCATTTCCGTCATAACCATAAGCATGCAATATTAATTTAACCTTCGCAAATGCTTCCTTTCAACACGAAAAAAGGCGTCTGAGAAGCCAATGCAAAAAAAAGCCTAAACGAATTACTAATTTCCCTAGGAAAAGATAACACTTCAATAGCTCAAAATCTATAATTCTATCCAATTTTACTTAACATCCATGTTTAAATATAAAAGCTATTTCCCAAATTAACCAAGTTTTTGGATATTCTATGAAGTAACGAAAACCAATTTCAGATTACGTTCCTTATAAAAGATTCGAGAAGAACATCTCTCAATCATTCCATCTCCAAATAATAACATTTCAAGGAGAAATTGCAAATTCAGTACAAACCGCTGGAACGTGAGTCCTTCAACTCACTCGCCCTGAGATCGCACACTGCCATTTCCGGCAGAGTATTCGGAAAAAGTAAATACCTTGGCCCTATTGGCCCCTGACCTCTCCGCCAGGAGCTTGTTTTTGTTTTTGGAGCAGCTCCGACGACTCAGGGCAGGTTTTCATAATTTCATCAGAAGAGCGCCATAATGCAGTGGCATGTTATGGCTGCTGTTCGCCAGGGGCGTTCGGCAATGCAATTGAATGGCAATGGGCGGGCTGTGCTGGAGGGGGAGTTGGAGGGGGAGGACGGACTCCTCCGATGGCTGCATTTAAATTGCACATGGCCATGGCACCCACTTCCGCCCAGCCCGGCCCCCACTTACGAGTATATATATGCACTCATGTGCGAGTATAAAAACAAACACTCAACATATTTCCCGACCCGTCTCCGTCTCCTTGTCTCCGTGTCCCCGTCCTCATATCCTTGTGTCCTTTTTCCGCTGTTTGCTGCTGGCTGTCATTTTTTTGGCTCTTCTTTCGCAGGGCTTTACGTATCCACACGAGGCCGGCTACCCGATCGAGTCGCGACAGGCGAAATACTACTTGATGGAGACCCATTACAACAACTTGAAGCCCGACTTCGCCCAATTGCACGCCCGCCAAATGGCGGATAATTCGGGTTTGAAAATCTACTTCACGCACGTCCTGCGGCCCAACGATGCCGGCATTCTGTCAATCGGTAAGTATATCCCCCCGAACACCCGAACACCAAACAAAGGGTTGCCCATCGCCCATTGCCCATATGCATATGCGCAAACTGCAGCCGTGGGGCCAACTGCTGCCCTTTTGTATATTTTATGCGGCGGGCGGCAGGCGGCGAGGAATGACTTTCTATACATGCATATGCAACTCATGTCATGCAATTTATGAGATTGCCGAGTGGACTAGGCGACCACGGATGGGGGGCTGAAGGGGGAGTGCCAGGACCGACCGCATTGGTGGGGCTAGTAAAACAAAAGCTTATGACTTCGCCCGGCTTGTCCAAATGCGGTTTAGCAGCGCTCCAGTGTGGGTGTTCGCATCTGTGTGAACGGACTGTGTCTGCAGAACAGCATAACAGCCATAACAGCAAACAAAGGAGATAAATCCCGGGAAGGAGCAGCCAGACAGCAATTTAACCACCTTTTATCCACCACGAAAGTTCATATCGCCACAATTTTAATGCGAGCACGCCTGTCAGACAATGGAGTGGCTTTCCGCTGCTCCAATTGCTTACAAATAGATTTTAATTTTAAATTTGGCGTCCGCTGGACATGGACATACACGCATCCAAATCAAACAACTCGAAGGACTTGGCATGTGGCTGTAGTGGAAAACAAATCGGAAAGCTGAAACTTTCCAGCCAGCAACTAAATAATTCAAAAAGCCAAAGGTTAGGTGCTGCCAGTAACAGTTCATTGTGTGTGAATAGCTGCAGCGAGGGTTACTCGATGAATTCGTAAAACAAATGCAAGGACAGCTAAGAATATTTGAATACAAACTGCTAAATAACTGTTAAATGTTGAAGCCAAGTTAAAAACTAATAAGTTTTAAGGTATTCGTTTATCGGTAATAGTGAACAAAAACTTAAATTACACAAATACTTTTGGCTGTGCCACCTTGATTGCTCAAACATTCTTCATTAGCCAATCTGCGTGGCGTTCAGTGAAGCCATTTCCCCTGGGTTTTTCCTCCAATTATCATATTTTTTGTAGCTCATCCACTAGGCGAATACTTCCGACCCCCAACCATTTCCCGATTGGAAAAACCCGCAAAACAGCAATTTACTGGCACCTTTCCGTGCCCCTCCTTATCGAGTTCCCCCCGCCGAAGTGTAAGCGCTTTTTGAGTACTTCTCAGCCACACTCCGTTGCACCACCCCTCGAAATCCAGCCACGACCCGAATAAACCACCTGAAAATTCTTCAGGTACTCAATTTTTTTATATTCATTGTGTGCTTCGTGAGCAGGCAGAGGATAACTAAAATACTAATTTCACTTTAGAATTTATTTCTGTTTTTCCTTTTGGCCGTGCTGGGTTGTTTCTTCTGTTTGTTTTTGGCATTTCTGGGCGGTTGGCGAAGGGGGCGGAAGGGACCTCCCACGGGCCTGTCCTTGCTGTTGTTGTTGCAATTGTTATTTCACTTTTGTTGAGAGTCACGCAAACCAATATAACTTTTCCCCAACCGCACAGAGAGACATGGCCAAAGCGCTAAATAAGAAGGTGGTTGGGGGAGTGTGGAGAATGGGGGGAATGGACGGACTGTTGGTAGAACTTCGTCTACTTACACTTCTGCCATCTTTTTTTTGAGTAGGTGTTGCCAAAACTTCCGGAGTAGAGCGCCGAAGTAAAGCGAAAAACAGAAAGAGAAGTGGATTAATACATCTTGATAGAAAAATACAATTTGGGGAAGCCGAAAACAGAGAATCATTTCGGAATATTCCAGGGCGAATTCGGGGGGAGAGAATGAGAGAGGAGATGGGAGATGGGAGGTAGGCGGTGGGAGGGGATCCGATTCGGTGGGTCTTAGGGGCGGCAGACGGCTTTTGCCATTGAAATATTTAATTGGAATTTAACGCATACCACGCACAAAAACACATTCGCAGGGGCAACGCAAGTCAATAAATAAAAAATGGGAAAGCCATAGCGAAAAATAAAATGTTGGCTACAATTTTCTCCTGGTTTGCTATAAATTGAATTACGGATCGCAAGGAATCGGGGAGGGGGCTAAAGCCAAAGCTCTCGGATCCACACGCATAAGTAGCTGCGAAATTGCTACGTTTCCGCTCTGTTTCCGTCCCTCTCTCTCCCCCGGTCGTCTGTCTCGCTCGCGCTGTGGCGAAATTTAATTTCAATTTAATTGGTTATTGATATAGCGCCCTGGTGTATGCAGCGAATCTGTGATTAATGTTGCGGCTTGGCGAATTTTTATGGCACCTTGGAGATGGAAGCTCGAGGATGGGAGATGGGGCGAAACAAATGAGGTTGGGACACGTTAAGCCTGCTCGGGGATTGTAATCTGCAGCTCAAAGCCCGTCGAAAAATGAGTGAGCGTTGATAACCAGCAGAGGGTGTCAAGTTAACTCTCAAATTTAGAAATTCTCACCCCATTACTTACAGCACTTTACAATTGACTTCTAACTGCTGGTTCAAACACATCCATTTAGAGTTTTTATTCATGATTTTATTCATTGAGCTATATGGAACTATAAACAATAATACCATTCAATCTCTCAAAATGTGTAGAAGTGCTTCATAAATACTCCTGAAAAAATTCACACTACACTGGGTTTAGAATAAAACGGAATCAGAATCCAGTTTAAAGTTCACACCATGAGTTTATCTGACCCAAAAACATTTTTATCAGCTTTATTTCGGGGCAAGTTTCAGTCAGCAGTTGCGGCGTCGAAATATATACAAATATATTGCTGATATCTATTTCTCCCACGGACGCTAATCAAATTGTTTTGCTGCTAGCGGAAGTCCCTCTTTTCGGGACATAAAGTGAGTGAACTGACGCTTTGACACAAATTGCCATTTAAAATAATTAGAAAAGTTGCAATCGGACATTTTTGCATTCTGCCATTTGCCGTGTGCTGGCTGTCAACATGCAACTGCCGAAAACCCCGCCAACTCTGGACGGCAGCGTTAAATATCGATTTGGGAAATATGTGTAGTTATGAATTGCGAGCGGGCTGGTTGGGCCAAATCAAATAGAAATAGAGCCCAACCCCGCCCCTTTCGGCCATGCCAGCGAATTTCGTCATGCTTCGCATGGCCAATATTGAATTTTGATTTAATGAATGGAAATTTGCAGCGCGCAATAAGAGGAATAGAGACGGGAATGGAAGTGAAATGAATCCGAACGAATTTGAAACTCGGATGCCCATCCATTTCACAGCGGGAGCTCTCTGTGCGCTTTGATAATATTCAAATGGACTGATCGAATTGGAAGTTAATGGAAATCAATTAAAGGACGGCCGCAAAACTTTTGCCGCTCGCATCGAAATGTCCCCAAGAAGACGGGAAAACTTCTTAAACGGGAGCTCCACGCTGGGGAGCTCGCATGAATCGCAATTTTCAATTAAATTGATGATAGAGAATTTTAGTATCATAAAGTCCTGCCGCGCGTGGCATTCTAGATTGATTGATTCTGCTCGCGTGACGTTTTGTAAAATGACCAAAAAATAGGAGCCAGAGGGCTTTGGGTGGCCGAACTCGGTGAAAACTTTTTAAAGCCATCACGGCATAGTTAAACAGTTTTTGGTAATTGAAAATTGATTCCCTGCTACACGACAAAGCCGAAAACCCATTCGGCGGCGCCTATGAAAATTAATAGAAATAATCTCCGCCAACAAATATGCAAAGCAAATTTACATGTATTCCAATACATAGGTGTGTGTGCATATAGCATAGTTAGGGATATGGACATAAAGCCGACTTTCCCAACTGCGCCAGCAGCGGGCGTTAAATTCAATTCATTACGTAATATTCTGGCCGTTGAGGTTGTTAAATTGCAAAGAGGAAAACACATCCAGCGGCCAAATGGATATTTTATGCAAAGGTTTTAAAGTTAATATTTTTACGTGGGTTCAATGGGATTAAAGGGGATGAGCCAGATCGGAAAACGGAGCAGAAGGAAAGTAGGTCGGCATCAGCGGTCGAAAGCTGTAAAAACAAATGGAAAATCCAATGAAAAAATAATTAATGCAATTGGAAACTAATCTTAAATTGGCGTATTCAATATTTAAAAGGACGCTGTTCGTTAATTGGCTTCTCTTATGAGAGAAGTTGATCAAATCTCGGCGGGGAAATCAGTTTAAAAATCAGTGTTAAGCGAGGGTATCATTAAAAGTTCCGGCCGATAGGATATTGTTGTAATCAACTTGATTGCGGGGATGAAGCATTTAAACAACATTTAAGCTCAGATTTACGAGACCGACACAGTAGGAGAACATCGCGGAACGCAAAAATGGAAATCAATTGCCAGCTGAATTCAGAAATGGGCTCCTCCAGCAATGCCAAGTATTTCCCGCGAGTATTTTGATTGGCATACTATAACCCCTCCCCCTCCGCCCGTCCACCATGAAATACCCCATCCCCTCCTGCTCCCAAGCACAACAATTGAAATGCCAAACAGCGAAGGAGCGGAAAATTTATATGTAGCACATGAATTTCAAATATTTTTTCAGCATGGCAGGCGACACGCGGCCCTAATTGAGTGTGGGGAGCGGCGGGGGCTCATCCGGGGGGTGGAAAGGTGGGTGGGGAGGGGAAGTCCTTGCGGGGCACTGTGTATGAGCAGTATTCCACAACATTTAACTAATTGAGCCGGCGAGGGGCGAGCACAACAGCGACGAATCGCGCTCCCAAAAATGAAAAATGCAAAATTTGATTTGCGAAGAATTTCTTGAGAGAGAGGAAGGGCTCTAATTGATGTGTGGGTGGGTAGGTGGGTAGGTGGCGGCGATGCATTGACAAAGTTGTTAAAACATCAAAAGCAGCAATTAAAATGTAATTACACGTTCTGCGACAAATCGAATTAAAAAATCAGCGTTCAAAGTTAAATAGAGTGTCGAGTGCAGACGGGTGGTTGTGGGCGGCGCAGAGTCACTGATGAGCGATGATAACGAGGTTGGGTTTCCACATTCCACGTTAACCGCGGCAGCTTTTAGCCAAGCCCCTCCTCGCTCCTCGCTCCGTTCTCCTCTTTCGAACCGTTAATTAAAAGCACTGAAACGTTTTTGAAACGCAACCGAACTTAACCGAACCGAACCGAATTCCGCTGTTCGCAGGAATGGACCCCAACTGGCGACACATCATACCGCCCGGCCAGAAGCGGGTCGTTTCGGAGGGCCAGTGCATGGAGGACTGCACGGGGTTCGCCTTCCCCCAGCAGGGCATCAACATATTCGCCGTGATGATGCGCACCCACCAGATCGGCAAGGAGGTTAAGCTGCGCCAGGTGAGTGCCCTTGATGTCCCCAGGACACCGCATTCGAATGCCATGCTAATGAGCTAACTTCTGCTTTCTGCTTTCCTTAACCTTCTCCCCCCTCCAGATTCGACAGACCGAGGAGCTGCCGCCAATCGCACACGACAGCAATATAGATGTTGCCTATCAGGACTTTCGACGTTTGCCACAATCGGTGCATTCCCTGCCCGGGGATAGACTCATCGCCGAATGCATTTATGACAGTTCGTCACGAAAGGCAATTACCCTCGGTAAGTGCTCGGGAGTAAATATATACTGGGGATATACGAGCATGTGCTGCGCTGTGCTGTGCTGTGCTGTGCTGCTCTCCTCTAAAGAAAGCGCACCCGACCCAAACAGCCATAAAGATTGCAAAAACTCTGTAAATCGCGGGGGGGCGAGGACCAAGCCAACATTGTCTTGAGCGAGAAGCTCTACGAAATTGCCGATGGCAGTAGGAGGGGGGCGCCATCAGGGGGAGTTGTGTAAACAGGCAGTGGCACGGTGAGCAATCGTCGTTATGACACATTTAAATCAGCCAAACGATATGCGACAGCCAGGACGAACCGTTGCACACGAAGGCCCAAGACAAAGGCGCTGCCTTCGAAGGGAGGACGAGGATGATGTGCAAGTGCAAGTGGAAGTGGATGGGGAGCAGGTGGGTCCTGCCGGCGAAGACAGAGCTGCCACGTCATTGTAAAATACATAAACCAAGACAGAGAAACATTTCACTTAGCTCACGGACGGAGGACGAACGGAACGGGACGGCTGGCAGGTGTTAGAGCGGGACGGGGAGTGCTGCTCCTGTTGTGACAGCTGCTCAGGACTGCTGCGAAATGGACAGTGCGGTGCAGCAGGGCGGGGAGTCTGGATAGAGGTTGTTATTAATGAGATTGGAATAGTGGAAGACGGCGAAATGTGAAGCTGACACAACAGACAACGATAATGGAAAGAACTGATTTTGAAGGATGGAGAAATGCATTGTGGGGCAGCAGGAATTCAATTCAATGCGAGGAAGTAGATGAAAAGCTCTCCATTTGGCTGGTCAAGACTCAGGTGTAATGGAATAGTCTCTGATCCATTCATACTATTTTGTAGGAAAAGAACCCTTCAAATTAGGTAGTTATTTCGCAGACTTTGCTAGTTTGCAATGGAACAGGAAGATCTTATCAATACTTTTTTCAAACATTACGCTGTTGAGTTATAGTGTACTTTTATGTAAAGTCTTTCACTGCAGCCCCATTATTTTCCCCGAAGCGTGGAACAAATCAGCACCTAGCGTAAATTTGACTTTCCTGCTTGCTTGCACAAATTCAAACACAATCTACACAATTCAAAGAGTGGGCGGGTTCATCGACTGGGAGTGGGAATTGCGAGCCGGGTGACAACTCTCAATAGAGACACACAGAGACTTAATAGACGAAACGTAACGAGGTTGCACCGTACAGAATTACACGGAGCAAGTCAGCGAGGCGTGGGCCCGGAAAAATAAAGCGGCGACTGGAGCGCAAATAAAGAAATAAAGAAATGCCCACACAGGCAGCAAATGGGCGACGCTTCTGTTCAGAAACATCAGCATCAGGCTGTCTCCGCCTCGCAATATTATTATGATGGCGCCTCGGCTGCTTTACTGTGCTGCCAACTGCAGCGGCCGCTTAATTCTTTCCTTTGTTGCGAGCCAGGACAACCGAAGGACGAGCGAGGACCGGGGGAGGACTCACCTGGCCAGCCAGCCAGGAAGTTGTCCCCCACTCTCGGCGACACTCCTTGCATCCTGGGGGAATGGAAATGGAAATGGAAACGGGAATGGGAACGGGAACGGGAACGGGAACGGGGCTCGGGGATATCCTGCTTTTGTTTTTCACAGCTGCATTTCTTATGCATTTCGTCTGATTGCCGATTTCTCCCTCCTTTCAGGCGGACTCACCATGAAGGAAGAAAGCTGCACGGTGCTGACACTCTACTATCCGCGCCAGAAGAAGCTGACAACGTGTCACTCACTGCCGAGTCTGCCCACAGTGTTGCACTCGCTCGGCATCGAGCAACTGGCAACGTAAGTACCTTATTTCCCTGCCCATCAAAGTTGCATGGGATAACTGGGAGAATTGGGAGAACTGGGTGGGCGGGGCGCATTCCGGATCCGGATGCCGATCCGGGCTAATGAAAATTGACACATTTCGAATAAGAATACGTATCGGGGGAGCGTGGGCGGTCCAAGAAGAAATCGGACTCTTTTGGGCCGAGGACTTATCGATCAGAGGGGGCTCAGTGGAACCTTGAAGGAGGTATGTTATGCAAGCTCCGCTCAAATGTGTGCTCAAAAGGTACAAATACGTGCACTCGAAAATAATTAATCGCCGAGATGCTGAAGAAAAGCAGCGTACTCTTCCAATCAATTTACTCGCCATTCACATTCAATTTGGATCCTTTGTAGCGCCCCTCGTCCGCTCACCACTCACCGCTCGCCTCCCACTCGTCCTGGGCGAATCCCCGAGCTCTCCATTCCGCCCACTCGACGTTGTCGGGACCCGGCTTGTGTATAAGGAAATTCGGTTTATTCCTCTGTTGACTAAAGTAATTGGTGATTTAATGATGTTGTTGCATAACCAAATCACCTAACGAACTCGCAGTGGCAGCCAAAGAGAGCGCAGGATGCGAAGTGGCGGGAAGGGAGGATGGAGGATGGAGGGACCAGAGGTCGGGTCCTCGTTGCCGCACTCGGGTATTCTCAATTCTGAAGTATTTGCCTAACAAACAATCGGAAAATGAACTGAGCACTGCACCCGGCTCTGCTCTAATTGAGAATTGTGAATGTGGAAAAATAAATTACGAGACAGCAGCCACAACCTCGCCGGGGCCGCCTCGCTTTTATTTAGAAAATATTGATTTCTATTACCGTCAAGTGCTAAATAAACAGCGAGCAGGAGCCCTCACTCAGCCGTCATTGCGGGTCCATTCAGAGTCCTTTCAGGGTCCTTTCACCCCGCCGCCCTGCACTTGACTCCTCAATGGCGGTGGGTCTAGGATAAATCAGTACACCCCATAAATATTGTATTTAAGCGCCCGCTGAAAATTAGTCGGAATTAAGCCGGAGTCCTCGCCCCAACTTGGCACGCCCTATTAATCACTTCCTATTGACACGGGCCAGGTCAGAATCGAATCGAATCGAATGGAATCGAATCATCCGAATCAAAGATAATTTTCTGCGGCAGACCGTGGCTCTCGGCCGCAAATCAAAGCAAACGGCATAAATGGATTACGGTTGGCCAGGGCCAAAAGGTAAGGAGCGTAAAAGATGGCCACGTAAATGAGTTAGAGGAGAAGGAGATTGGGATTACGTTGGTATGAAAAGCAGTCGTTAAAAGTGTTAGTTGGGTGCTTGCGGCCTGATTGGCTTTCGATCTAAGAGGAGTCCTAATCACTTCTAGCAGGAATCTTCGAAGCCCAATAAATTCAATGCACCTATCCGGCAGATCCCATCGTGTTGCTCCGCATTTCGTGCCACAACCATCCAATGGCTTTGTCCGCTTACAACTTTCTGCTGTAAGTGATTGTGGAGCGCAGGCCCATCTCACATGCATCGGCTTTTTGCCCAGACAATGTCCACTTCATGGACTCTCGGACCCCAGAACACCGTCCTTGTAAATCCCCTCCGGCCGACGACATCTGAACTGTACTGCGTGTACCCGAAATCGACATGAATTGATAAAGTCATTTGCAATTGTCCGTCGTTATGGCCGTGGCAGTGGCCAAAGAAGAAAGGGAGGAGGGTTCGGGTTCGGGTTCAGGCCATGTTTCGGGCCATCTCCGCTGCTGTTATTGTTGCCGTTGTTGTTTCACGCGCTTGTTGTTGTTTGTTTAATACAATGCCCCCTTCCGTCCGCCCCGCATTGTTGCTCTTCTTGTTATTGTTGTCGGTCAGTTATTATGGCCACTGCAATTTTGTAGCGCTTAATGTCCGGCTACGGGCCTGAGTCCTGGATCCGGGTCTGGCTCCGAGTCCGGGGGTCCGGGGGTCCAATTCCGGGGGTCTGAGTCCGTGTCCGTGTCCGTATCCGGGGCCTGGAGCTCCTGCAACCGAAAGTGCGAATGCGATATGAGGATTAAAATTCATAATGAAAACCCAAACGACAACATCGAAAGCGAACGAATTCGGAGGGCGGGGAACTCGAGGTGATGGAAGTGCAACAGACCAGCTCCAAGTGGGCGGTGGAGCGGTGGGGCGTGACGGGGACTGCGGCTCCTATTTGTTCTATGTCTAGATCGCCCGCAGGTACCGCATGTTGTTCGCTTCAGGTTTAATTAAACAACGATGGAAAGCGAGCACGGGCGGAACAATAACATCGTTTGGCAGTTGCAGGGGGGAATGCGTATATGTATGAGGTTCAGTTATTCAGTCGCCCTTGTGCTCTCTAAACTTTTAAATCCGTTTAAATTGCCGTTAGCGGGTAATCGAAACACCAGCAGGAGACCGTCGCAAACATATTCTGTTGGTTCCATTTTACGAAATTAGTTTACACAAAGTGAGGTCTCCTATCATCAAAACAGTTATTAAAATACACTCAGCACTCAATTGAAATGCTTACATCATATTGATGGTTTTTATCCCCCGGTCCGCACAACAGGGGACAGATATACAACGTACAACCGGTGGCTCGGTCCGATTTGGCATGCCACGCCGAATGATAAGCTAATGACGCACACAGGTCGTAGCCAGCGGCATCGGAGGGCCAAGCCGGGCTCAATTGGTCTGCAACTAATGTAATTATAAGCCACTTGCAAATGCCGGCCGGTGTCCTCCCAATCAGCCGCTCCGCACCCCGATGCTTATTGTGGTTGAAATTCAATTTAATTTGATACGCACAGATTTTCGGCGAGTGTAGCCAGGGGTTTCCGAAACTGTTTGCAGTTCAACTGTGGCTCAATTGACCAACACACACCAGAAACCCATCCACCAACCGACCCACCCACACACAATCACTCGCATCGAGATGCGACACAATAACCGGAGTGGTGATGATGGAACAGGTTGGGGAAAGGGATCGGGAAGGGGAAGGGGAAGGGACAGGGGAAGAGTTATGGGGCGCCCTTCGGAGGGATGGACCACGTTGTCGTCCTTGTCGTCGTCATCATGCAAAACTCATTGAAGTCGTTAGCGTGCGTCGGGGCCCAAGGACATAAAGCACACAATGCATCCTGGGAGGGGCGACTGCGGGGGTGTTCTGCATTTCGTTTGTGGCACGGTGCAGGCGCGGGCGGCAGGACATCGGCTGGCTGGGGAATGCAGTGCGGCACAGAGAAAAACGATCCCGGAGGTTGGCTAGTGAATCTATAAGTTGGGATACAGATGTGAAAATTCACTCAATGGACTTAAACGTAAACTTCCTTTGCTACAATGAGTGTTTTTTCTTGCTACTCATGAAAGTGTATTTTTTGAAGGTAATTGCAGTTATTTAGGTCTTGAATATATTATAGTACATTTCCCTTATAAACTAAAGAGTGCCTAATATTACTTTTTGACATTTGTTCATGTTACATGAGCAACTCTTCTTAAGAACTGTGCAAATATAAGTTTTAATCATCCCTTCGTTTTCTTGCGGTGCACCTGCGGAATCGCGGAGCTTCATTGATCATGCGCCCAATCGGCCACCTTCTCGCTGCCACATACTCGCACACGGTTCATTCCCCGCGAGTCGCGAGGAGTCCTTTGGCCAGAGCCAGAGCCTGAGTCCTGAATCCTGAATCGCTGAATCGTTGCCCGGGCCCGATTGCCCCGTTATTGGCTTAATTTACGTTTTACGTTTTGGGGTTTTGCAGCCTGATTTTTCCGTGCGGCCCGACGACCATTTCGGGTGCTCTTTTTCGAGAGCAAAACAAAACGAAGCGAACGCAACGGGGGAAAAAAAGGAAAGGAAAGCCAGAAAAAATAATGTGATAGTGGTTTTCACAATTTACGCACTTGCCATGGCCACTGAAATTAATTTTAATTGTACGTGCGCTTGTGTCTGCTCACCACTGGCCTGGATCTGGTGCCGGCATTAAAATCAAAGTAATTATTCAAGTTGTGTGCATTTCCACTCCCGTTCGCGTTCTCCGTTGTTGTTGTTGTTTTACCGCCCAACCCCTCCCTCCCCCTCCACCGAATGCCTTTGTTTATTGGCGTTTTCTGTTTGTTGAGCTACGCAAATTGGCTTCATTTTATAGTGCTCGCCGTTGGGTCGCAGCTTTCGTTAATTGTTTGGGGCTGAGTGATATAGATATCCTCTTTGTGCCCGGTTTCCTCTTCCCAAAAGGGAGCCTCATTAAGGCCCATGATATCCTTTATTACTTTATGACTTCTCCTTCATCTTTGCATATCGGATGACTTGGCCGCACACACGGAATTTTTCGGTCTTTCGGCTCCGTTCGCTCTTTGTTATCGATACTCCTTGCGTGGCTCATCGCAATTATCCTGCGGGATGTTTCCTTTTTCTCCACAGCTCTTCCTCATCTCGTCAAGTTTGTTCTCTCGAGCCGCGCAAAAGTTGCTGAGTTAATTAATATCAAGGCCAAAAAAATCTTGTTTAGGTTTAAAAGGCTTTGTAACTTTATTACGCGCTCTTTGAGAGTCAAATTCATCAGATGGGCTCCTTGTTTCTGAACTTTTATGAATTTATTTAGAATTTCATTGCTCACTAATTGTATTTATTACGGAGAGCTGAATTTAAGCTTGCTATAACTAAGCTTATTTTCCAGCGAAACAACCACACAAAGCGGTAGTTTTATAAAAATTAACAGCTAAAACGAAAAAATATCTAAATTGGTATATAGTAGGAAACTGATATTTGTTGCTATTGCTTTTTTCCGAATCTCTATTTTCATTTAGCTTTGATTCAAAGCCGACATGGTTTGTGCTTCATTTTTCTTTGCTAGATTTTAATAGCTGGATTTATCAGATATCCATTATCCGCCCCACCCACTTAAAGTCCGCCCGCTTTAGTTTTCATTTGTCATCAGGAACGGTCATTCGGTCGTTATGCCAATTGCAATTGCACTCGGCTTCAAAATTGAATTCTGCCCGATGCGAACAGGAGGTCATAAATGCACACAAACACGCACTTGCCTCCGCAGGAGCTACTGTTCCTGTGCCACGCCCCCTGCTCCGCCTCCTTGCGGAACTGCGTCGTCGTCATAACGCTACATAAATAAGCCCGTTGCAAAGCGCATTGCAGTTGGAGCTGCGAGTGGAAGTGGAAGTGGAGGGGGAGTGGAGATGGGGATGGGGAAGGGGAGGGGGTTGGAATGGAGATGGAGACGGGCATGTGGATTGGGGCAAGAAGTGCAGCAGGAGCCGGAGTTGCGGCTGGAGTCCATGGCCGTGGCCCAAAGCTGGTTCCGCTCGAAATGCATTTCGGGACTGGCATTGTGATGTGCCATTAGATTTTATAATCAACAATGCCAAGCCAGGGACTCCGAGTCCCCCGCCCCCAGATCCAATCCCACCCAGCAGAGTTGGGGATCCTTTGTCCTGCCGAATGTGGCTGCCGGCTAGTTGGCAGCATTCCTGTTGCTGCTGGGCCATCATTTTAATTATACTGAGTGCCAATGAAGTCAATGGCGATAAGGCTAAAACGCCGGCGATTGATGCCGCTCGGCGGGGCGTTCGAGGGCTGAGGGCTGAGGGCTGAGTGCTGAGTGGTGAGTGGTGGGCGGGGCTACATCCCGTTATCCCGTTTTTACATTACCGACATCTGTGTGAGTTTCCACTGCATTTATATTTATTATATGTGTGTGGGAGGTCACGGTGGCTTCGGTTACGGTCATGCAGGCCGGATATATTAGCAGGCGGACCTCCCACCCCTCCTCCAGTTTCTCCCCCCCTCCCCACAACCAATGAACCGCAAAACACCAAATGTAAAAGGGAGATGCAATGCAGATACACTGGAAGAAAGTAGCTCATTCAATGGGATGCATCTTCAGGATACAAAACTAAATAATATGTTGGCTGAGAACTGCGAAAAACGCTTATGATAAAACGAGGATCTCTCCTTAAACAAATAGTTGAAGAATATAATAATAACAAATCTAATCTTCAAGTCAATCTATGAATATGATCCCTATTGATCTCTCTATTCCTTTCTTAATTCCATCTGTTTATTTCAATTTGTTATAAGTTTGCAAACGAAAAAGTCTGAAAAGCGAACTCATCTTTGTTCTAGCTACATAATTTTCTTTTACCAAAAAGTCACTTCCAATATGGTTTTCAAGTGCACTGCACATCCGCAAAACAGATGGACGGAGTCGGGCAGGGCCATATATTATTTTATATTATTATTGTTGCGGGACGCAGGACATGGATCCGGGCCGCACGGACACCGATACGGACACGGACATGCGGGAGGACTCGCACAAGTGGCCAGCGCCATTAGAGCGGTCGGACGGACTGGGGGAGGGGGAGTGGGAGGGGCGGTTTTGCAATCAATCCGCAGACATTAATATTTTTCGTGTTTCCAGCCGCAAATTGTTGCGGTTGTTGCAGCGGCACTTCCACCCTCTCCCCTCCCCCGTCCCTTCCCGCCTCCACCACTGGATTTCCTCACCACAGGAGTCAACCCTCCCCCCGCCACCCTGCCACCCTGCTCCCTTCTCCTGGCGGAGAGGACTATCGCAGACACAACCCTCGATGCGGATTGAGTGGAATCATAAATTAATTAAAAGAGATTTGTTTGCGGCTTCCAAAGGATTCTGCCAGCCGCCAAAAACAACTCGCAGGAGGGCACAAAGAAATGTGCGTTGCTCGCCGCTCTCCTCTGGCTGGCTATAAATGTGTGTGGGCTCTATGAAATTAAAGCAACATTTTTCGTAATGCCCGGCAAAGAACAAAATTAATTAGCCTAATTGTAAGGGCGGCGGACACGTCGAGGGGCAGACAGCGCTGAGCCAACCAAAGCAACCAAACGAAACGAAACGAAGCGAAATGAATGAATGGAGGGAATGAATGAGATGAGATGAATATATAGAAGGAATTTATATTGCACAACATCCTAGCCAGTGGTGTAGTGTGCAGAGGGGTTGAAAAATCCGTATGGATTATGGTCCAAAGGGAATTACAAAAAATCCATTAAGTCTCCAAGGAAGTTTTGTCTGTTAAAAAGTTTTAGTTTCAGCTAGTCATGTAAAACTACCTTGAATAAGCAGAAATATTTTTAGGAACAAAAGGAATAACATTTTAATGCAAAGAATAAAATGCTTTTTGTTAAATTTACAATATAAATGATACAAGGAAAATCTCAAGTGCTCCATTTATCAATGTGTTCAATTCGCTTTCTGAGCTTTCTGAAGCTCTCGTTCTTTTGTAAAATCGCAGCAATCTGATGGCAACTAATGACAATAAATCGGTTCAGGTCTGAGTCGAAAAAAGCCACTTGGCTGGAAGCCTTTGAAATAGTCGTGATAAATGGGGAACTCTAAGTAAAAACAGAAATCAAATTAAACAGCCAAATTATACATATTTGTTATGGGAGAAAGGCCCCGAGCAGCGGGATTGACACAATTGAATAATCAGCAAACAAACAGAGCCGCAGAAATGACTTCCATGAGCCAATCCATTAGTCATCTCCCTCGGCTCTTCCGGCCGGGGTTTCCAACCCCCCGGACTACGCCACTGATTGCCTGGCGCTGAGGTTTTACACTTTTGGCCCATTTGTTAGGTTTTCTTCCCCCGAGGTCTCCGGCCCGGAGACCGGTTCGTGTGCGGTTTTTATTTCGCTTTGGCAGACCGAAATTGTAACAACGTATTTGACGCGTCACAAATGAAAATCTAAAAGATTAATTAGCTCAAGTTTTTGTTGGCGCGCGCCTTCCCCGACGAAAATCCGAGCGCAAATCTGCCAGGACTTACCGAGTAAGGAATCCCTCGGCCTTCGGGATCAGGACCACCCTGGCTCTGGGGGTAAAAGTTGAAAATCTGCTGGCAAAGCGCCTTTTCGGGGTGGCAGACTTCAGTTCGCCTTGCGAGTGTAATAAATTTTAAGTCCTAATCAAATTTGACAATAATAATAAAGTTAATAATGTTATTTAGCTTTCCCGCTTTGACTCTAACGCCCTCGATTCCGTCTTATCTTGCAGCGACTCGAACCCCGTGCTGATATCATCGCCGCCCGAATTGGCCGGAATGACACTGGAGGCACGTCTGATATCCTACGACTGGGAAAATCAATTTGGCGAGTTCCAGGAGGCCACTCGCAAGGGCAGCTTCAAGCCCATCTGCTGGGGAGCCAAGAACCATGTGGTGCCGGTAAGTTAAAGCCAACTCCCGATTTGTGCCATAGGAGCGGCTAGATGGCGGATCCCGTCCCTGTCCCTGTCCCCTGTCCCTGTCCTTGTCCGCTCTGTCACAGTTGAAATCGCATTAACCCTTTTTATCTATCCGGGCATCTCAATCTCGTCCTTCTTACTCGCTCGTTCGCCCTAATCGCAGGGAGCGTTTCGCTCGTCCTGCTTTCCGCTTTCCCGCTCGTCCCGCCATCCCGCCATCCCACCATCCCACCATCCCGCTTTCTCGCTTCCCTGCTTTACATCCATCAGCTTAATCAGCTAAATTGCTAGACAATATCTGGGATAATTTTTCTTGCTGCCATTTGACGGCCCCACCCTCTCCGAGTGCCACTCGCTCCAGCACACAGGAGCGGGATCCAGATCCAGATCCAGACAAGTGCTCATTTATTCATTTGCGGGGCGAGGCGGTGCGGTGCGGCGGGGTCGGAGCAGAAAAGACATTAGGGCCAGCCCACAGCCCCACATCCATCGGTTGGGGCAAAATGCGGGTAATGTCTACCGGAAACCGCACGTTATAAAGTGCAATCAATTGCATTGCGGCCATGGGCAGCGTTCGTTCGAGTTTGTTAGGCGCCACTTTACGGCAGTCCTGTGTCCGTAGTCCGTATTCCGTAGTCCGCAGTCCGTAGTCCGGAGTGCAGAGTGCGGAGTGCAGAAGGGGATAGCGGATAGTGGGAAGTGGGGATGTGGGAGGTGGAAAGTGGGCTTCCCTTTGGCTGAGTCACATATATCAGGCCAACACACGTACGACTTCGACAACGATCATTCTAATGGGTCACACAGCGAGGCGAACGAGGAGCAGGACGATTCCCAGCCAGCTGGCCCTAATTCACGTCCAAAATGGTTTAGAGCGACTGACTGAATGCTCCCATATGAGCATGATTCCCCGGCATTCTCTGCTCCGCCTTTCTTTAATACTTTGCACTGTGGAAATTGTGGGAAATTGCTTAAGTTGGAAATTGTTGCCATTTTTATGCCACTGACTTGGCCGCCGTTCACTTTGTGGCTCTGACTCTGACTTCGGCCGAGGCTCTCGAGCGAAATTATCAACGCTTGAATTGCCATCGATTTTCCGTGCTATTGCGTTAAATGTTGTTGGCCGTTTCAGCTCGGTTCAGTCGAGTCTCTGTCGTTTTTTGCAGCTGTCCTTTAGTCAATAACTCATTGAAGAACTCACCCGGAGGCGTCTCCCGCCTCTGGCCACTCGCTTGACGGACAGGCCCATCGGATTTGTGAAAACCCTTGAAGCGCCCAAATTAGCAGCGAGCCGGGAAAAAAGCCCATAGTTCTGCGAGGGTGTGTGTTTGGGCAAAAGGTGAACGGCAGTTAAATGTAGCGGAAAATATACAGCGGCAAAAAGGTGACAAAGGAGCAGAAGAAGTCTGTGATTAGTTTTCCAAAGCTCTCAGATCCCGGGCTCGGTGAGTCGGAAGGCCTAGTTCCTGGTCGCAAAAAGATCTCCAGCCGATGGGGCTCACTGAGCAATGGGGTTGGGCACCCAGCTCCACGAATGCCAAGTGCCTAACCAACTGGGAAAATGCCCTGAAAACTGATTGATTGATATAAAGTTATGACCGGCGAGGCTGGTTGCTCAGCACAATCGAGAACTTAGTACCGACTCCTTTATGTGCTCTCATTTCGGGTCGACTTTATTAACATAATACAAAATATGGTAGCATATTTTTTTGGGCCGCCAAAGAGAAACACCCGTAAAAAAGGCGAAAGCCGAGCAACCTAATTAGCATGTCAATCTCCGCACACAGACACGGCGAATCTACGACCTAGCTGTGGGGCAGCTAGCTGGAAATTGAGGCTGGCTGGGAAGAGAGCAATCCATTAAAGCCCCAAATTTATGCATAAACAAAATTGCACACTTTATGCTGTTCAACCTGAATGGCCATGGAAACAACGGCGGCGCCGCGAACAAACAAACACACATTCCTTTTCAATTAAAATGTCTGTCAGTGGCAACAAGGCACACTCTTGGCAACCCACACCTGGATACGTCTGTCAAGCACTCGGTGGCTTCCACGAAATGCCATTCGGCTTTTTCGGTCGTTTTGGGATCGCCCCCAAAACGGTTCACAAAATGCCTTTTCAAAAATTCAACAACCAACAACATCGTCGTCGTGGCCGTCGCGCGATTTGCATAATATTATTAGTAAACACTCGTTATGAAGTCAGCCACGCCCACCGCCCACCGCTAACCGCCCACCGACCACTGACCCCCACAAATGCAGACATTCGCTAGATTTAGATTTTCGACTGGGCATAAAATATTTGACCGCAGCGCAAGTCCCAGGATCCACCCGCCAGGACCCGCACCTATTTATAAACACAAATTTATTCGGCGTAATTAAAACACAAAATTCTGCCAACGATTTCACTGGGGACTCCAGGAGTAAACACCGCTTTGGGGGGGAGGAGCGGGGGAGGGGACGGGTGGTTGAATGTTAAACCTGCTCTGGAGCTTCATTGTTTTGCAATTGTACCAGGATTTCACTTGAGCTTCGACGCAGTTTTCCCTATCTGTTTTTGTATCTTGTTTGTAGAATGTTTTGGCTGGAACTATTTTCACGAGCTTTTGATTAGGGTTTTGATATTTCTAGTGAAGGATATTTTTTATTCAATTTACAAAACTTCTTGTAAATGGGAATTCTTTAAATTTTGCAAACAACACATTAAAACAGAATGTAATTACAACATTTTTCTTTAACAAGTTTGTTAGATTCACTTTCTTTTTTGAACAAGTTAAAGTAGTTGAATTTAAGCCTGGTAGCCAAAACTAAGTCCCACATTTATTGGCTTAGAAAGAGTATGCTGTAGACCACCGCTCTTGTCGCCCTTCGTTGTTTTCCGTTTTTGTTGCACTGTCAACGGCATAAATAAGCTTTTCAATTTCCTCGCTCGCCCCGTCCCAAAAGGACAGCAACCGAAAAAGCTTCGGGAAAGGAGAACAATTTAATTAATGTCGCAATTTATTATATTCAGATCCTGAGCAGCAGCCGCTAATGTTTGCCATTTCCCCTTTTTTTTATCGCCCCACAGGGCTCCGAGTTCCTCGAGGGCTACAGCATAAATGTGACCAAGACCTACAAGAAGCACCGGCGGTGCAAGCCGAAGCGGCCCTTCGCCCCGCCCACCGAGCGCACCGCTCCGCCGCCCGCCTCCGACCTCAGCGAGCTGCCGGTGCTGCACGAGCTGGACAACAACAACATCATCGAGGGAGCGGCGCGGAGCAGTCGGAGCTCGGCGACCGACGTCCACGGGCTGAGCCGCGGCAGCGGCCGCCAGTTCATCAGCTGCCTGCTCTGGCTGGGCGCCTCATCCTGGTGGCTCCTCCTGATGCTCAGGACGTGAGGGGACTGAGGGGGACCCGGCGGCAGAAGAAGCGGCAGCAGCAGCAGCAGCAGCGGCAGCGGCAGCGGAAAGCACAGGCACCACCGTCTCAATACACTCAACTAACCGTACAGCTAGAGAACAGATGGAAATCAGCGTAAAACAAAACTAGAGTACTGAAAAACGCAACTCAACTACGGCTCTCTAACTACAAATGACATCTCTTAATCCTACTACAGATACAGTTACAGTTACAGATACAGATACAGATACAGATACAGATACAGATACAGATACGAACACAGCAAGAATGAAAAGGCGGAAAGAGGAAAACATGAAATATTCATAATAAGCTAGCGTATAACGGCTTTCCCCGTCCCCTCCCCCGGAACACCTGCTGGTCCCCGACGCCCATTTGTTTAAGCTCCTCCCACACCTCCACACTTTTGTTGATTTTGTTCTAGAGTTTTAGTAAATTATTAACGATTTTTTTAAGTAGTCTAAGCTGAAAAAGATATAAAAAAAGAAATGTCAAAAAGCAAAAAAAATGGCAGGCAAAACAATGTCGAGATAAAACCGAAAAGCAATAATTAGTTGTTGTTGTCGTTATAAATATACAAATGCGAAATTGTAAAAGATACGGATATTATAGATATACACCATGACTACAAATATTTAGAGCAGTCATTCCTTCTACCATAACGGATATAAACCACACACCTATATTTAGATATCTATGTATACATATACTATAGGGTCTGACTTACGTAAGCTTGAGCGTCTGATGGGTTTTGTTGGGCATTGCAAGAAACAATCGTAGAAGGGAAACGGCATCAAGTGGCAACTGGAGGAACGCGCATCAGGCCCTTCATCCCTCCCCCGGTTAAGTTTAGTCAGAGCTACTAAGTGGAACTAAGTTCGAGCGGAAAAATCATTGACTCATCACACAAACAAACACGACACAAGCATGCATAAACTTTATACGTCCATTTAAGAAGCGAATCGAGAGAGACAGATACGAAAAAGATTTAGTTTAACGTAAATTTTAGAAAAGACTTGGCTAACGGAGTAATTCGTTTTGCAAAAGACTAAAGTGGGGATTAATTAGCGGAAAAGGCGGTTACCAAGACTTGATTTCCATTGAGATTCTGAAATAATATTACGATGATTCTCGTAAGTACTCCACAGTTTATAAATATTTTAGGCTGATATACGACAGGTTGCAGAAAAGACAAAACTGATTCATTGCTTTTCAAGAACGAAGAAGAACTGTATTGGTCGTTGAAAAAGCTGACAACTAATTGATCCAACTGCAACTTGAAAATACCTTCACTTTTTGTTGACTTATTCTAATACACTCGCGCTTTAATTATAAGTTCTATTCAGTTACCTAATGCAAATCTACCTGCTCTTCAACTACAAAAGAATCAAGAAAAAGAAGCATTAATACTCTGAACACTCAAAGTGTTGCCTCCTCTCTTTCTTACTCGCTGTCGTTCTACTAATATCTCTACGTTTAGCACGATAGGCTATAACTTTCTAGACCTAAGTTGTAAATATACTCAAGCGGACGGAGAACGGACGGGAAACCAATGCGGAATTGTAGGCCACGGCGAACGGAGGGCGGAGTTGGAGCATTATACAGGGTGTGTGATTAGATACGACTCTCGATCAGCTCTAGGCGTAGGATTGGATGTCTCACTAGGTTCTATATAAATTGCATACGGATACGGATCCGGATCCGGATACGGATAGACAGTTAGATGACACTTAGCAATGTACGACGCCGCCAAGATCTGCTCGAAGTAGTAAAAATATACCATATACATACGACATAAATATAAAGTAAATTTATATATACACATACGATACTATACTATAAAGTCTATATATACAATACCATACATCTATAAGTAGTTACGTGGTTCGTAGTTGTAAATGTGAATGTGAGTATTTTATACAAAACAGAAAATAACGAAATAAAAAACAAATAAAGCGAAGCATGAAGCGATAGCAAGAAAACAATTTTTATACCAAGAGAAAGAGAGCGAGAGATGAGGAGCCCCATTGAAGCGATCGAGAGCAATCGCACGCTATATATACAAATCATATATATTTTAGGATAACTGCTGTAATAAGATTAGTGACGAGTTGGCAGAAGCGAGCCGAGCGAATGCAAAGTTGAAACAATCAAAATAACATTTAAACAACAAGCTACATAAAAAGGAAACACTTTTTGCGCTAAACTATTAAAAGTTTGCCTCACACACACACACACACACACACGCTCACGCACACTGACAAAACTTTAGCCCCGTTGGCAGAAAAAGTGAAACTTTGCTGCAGCCAGAGGCGCGCCTTTCTATATGGGCCATCCTGTTTTTGAGGTTTTCCCACTTGTCGGCCAACTTTTTAATGGCCCCTCCCGAGCCCATCCCTTCCAGTTGAATGCCAGCGCCTTCAGCCGTGCTGGCAGCCCAACTAGGTCTAATTAGGAGCGATGAGCAACCGACATCGCTGCCACAGTTTTGGCTTTCGATTCGCCCGCTTTGTCCTTTGTCATAGCAACCTGGCCACTTTTTGCACTGCCTCTTTTTACCTTTGTTTGGCACATTAATTAAACTTCTTGCCCGGGAAAAGCCAGAGCGGGCAAACTGGCAAAAACAAGGCGCACAATTACAAAGGCAGCGGAAGGAAACTAAAACGAAAACATTCCTCCGTTGGCTCGCCAGTCGCCAATTGGAAATTAGTTTCACCAACTGGCCAGCAGACACAAGACACACCAAGTCACACTCACACACACAATCAGAGCGAAATGTATTAATAATTTAATTAAATGCAAACAACAAAAACGGTTTTGGAAAATGTACTTGCGATAGAAACGATAAAAAGTCGGAAATAGTTTCAAAAACTACATATACAAAGCGTAATAAAGGGGAACTAAACGAAAGCTAAACTAAAATAATCTTACTAAAGCTAAACAACAAAAACACAAATATACTAATGGCATACAAAGCACATTGGAAATGCAAAAGAAAGCCGGAGATAGAACACAGAGGTATGGGCAAAGGTGTCTTGAGAATATAAGCTGATAAAGAGCTGCAACAACCTTTCCGAAAGTCTGCACAGATAAAGCCAATGAGTCGGGCTTCTTGGCCAAACTTTTCCGAGCCTGATAGAAGTCCGGGCGGAAAAGCTGTGGAATGGAGTGCTCTAATGTCGGTCCGTTCACCCTGGCCTTGGCCATTCTTAGCCGCTGCTGGATCACGGCTCTGTCGGCCCAGTCCACCTGGCTCTATCTTAATTCCGTCTATAAGAATTTAAAATTATTTCGCTCCGCTTTGCCGCACTCTAAGGCGGGTTTTTTGTTGGTGCAGAAAATGCAAAAGCGGAGGCCCCACTCAAGAAACTAATAAGTTCTTGAAACTGACCCAATTAGCTCGTTTAACTTGCTTTCCATTCTACAGTCGCCTCAAAGACACCTTTTGTTCATCCACTCAAAGGCATCTCGAGGACCGGGCAGGAACCCCACGGGGCACCAGATTGGAGGCTGTCAAAGTGGAAAGTAGCCAACACAAGCCTCACCCGGACACTCAGAGAACAATGTGCGAGTTAGGAGTACCAAGATATGTATACATGTTCTTAGGCCCTCCCTTGAAAGATTTTATTTTGCGAACGAGGCACGGCGAGTGAATGAGGAAGTGCTGAGAGACAAAAACCAAAACAAAACACAACCTACCTAAAGCGATAAAACAAACCTAACTATTTTTAGTGTGTACCTTGATTTTTTCAAAGCAGAAGAATCCCTGAGCGGAAGATAGGGGTGTTCGGCGGCGAGTGACCCCAGGATAACTAATATTAACAGAAATATATATATGAGAATAACGTAAAAGTAAAAGCAATAACGAGCAAACGCATAGCTATCAACGGAAGATTGAGAGGGTAGGCTAAACAAATACTCTAGCTCTAGGCAAACGATATGATAAGGCATAGTTGACGATCGATGAGTGAAATGTGTAGCATACTTTTTGGGCAGCCTATTGGCAAAAGCGGATGCGGAAGTGAAGTGACGGAAGAGAGATTTGGAAACGGGAACGGAATTGGGAACAGGAACAGGGGCAAGCAGTAGGCAAGTTACGTAAGGTTAGAGAAGGCAGAAATCGGATTGCATATGATTAAAACGTAAAACAAAAACTATTTTAAAGTAGAGCAGTTTGCAAAAATATTTAAATGTGTCGTTAGAAACCCCCAAAAATTGTAGTTGCATTGTCGTTAGCCATAGTAGCAAAGTTGCATATTGAAAAGAAGACGAGGACACAGGAGCAAAAAGTAAGCGGAGGAAGAAGCATACATACCATACATCAATCAAAGAAAACTAACATAGCCGGCATCTTAGAAACATCATCAGTATTTGTGTATAAGTCCTGCGTGAAGCGAAATACATACAAACAGGCCCACATAGATACATATACATATGCATACAAACATATAAATATCGTAACGTACGGATAAATATAGCTAAAACCAACCACACACAACCCCCAACAAAAAGTAAAGTCAGTCCCCAGAAATAAAAACCTAAAGTAAAGCCCGATAAAAGGATAACACCACTTGATCATAAGCTATAAACAACAGAATCGAACTCTGCGAGAACGGAGGCAACTGTACTTGAGAAAGAGGGCAGCGGAAAACCACAGTTAATACCTCCTCAATGCCAGTAAATCCCCTAACGGGCTTTCCTTAAGCGCTCTTCAGTTGCGCCACCTGGCCCAAGCACACTTTCAGTTCGACCTAACCTCAAACTGAGCTCAACCTAACCTCAATCTGTCTAAGGATAAAATGCAAGCGGTTGCCTCTACTCTCACAGCCAAATCAACACTCACGTATAGCCACATCCGACACAGTTACACACCCGACATTTTTGATACCGAACTAATTGATAGTGAGATCCGGAAGCTGAACGGGGATAACAAAAGGACAGGCGGACGAACTCATTTATCTATTGTGAACTACATTGTTTGATTGTGAGCTAAGTTCCGACTACTACAACCACTACTCTCTATGAATGTTTTTCAGTTGTTCACTAAAATAATTTTGTAATATACTAAAACCGCAAGCTAAGCAACTTTTACTATAACAACAAATGGAGAAAACCGAAAAAATAAAAAAGAAAAACAATAAAATAAAATATATATAAAATATATATATACATATATATATATAGAAGTCGGAATGTGTTTTCATTGTCTTTGGGGAAAACTTTTGGAAAAATTAAAGGCCTATCATCTGTAAATGTGGAGAAGAGGTAACGAGAGTACCAGAATTCGTACAAATATATTCATGTATAGGTTGATTATACCCACTTAAATTCCTGCGTATTTATTTATGCAAATTTAGTTAAATGCAAATTAATTACATAACTGCCTGTAAAAGCTGAAAACGCTGCCAAATGAAAATGTTTACAAATGCAGCAACAACAACAAAAACAGCGAATTTGGCGACTTCGCACACACGTACGCGCATACTTTAAAATAAACAATACAGGATTACAGGAAGGAGGGTAAAGCGAGGTAAGCCTCGAAGCAAAAATTATTTTTGCATCATTAATTTACATTTATATTCAATTAAAGCGCAAACACATTGCCAGGGGATGCCCAATCCGAGGGGCAGGGTCGTGAATCTGCAGTTGTGCCAAATGGAAGGCGCGTGCCTTCCACGCCGCTGGGCGTGGCACTGGGCAAACACACAGAGAGCCGAGGAGTGGAAGCAGTTTTTTCAGAAGGGAAGTCAACCAGCCAAACCCATATTCAACTGAGGTTCTGAAGAAGGGCAAAAGCAATACTTGTCTAAAAGAAACACAACCAGCATAAGCATTAATTAAACAAAAGGGGAAAAATGGTTGTCAACTGCAACATAATCGAATCATTGTTTGCCAAAAATTATTATGAAAGGATGTTACTTTACTAATCGTTAGAAAAGAAATAGGCACTTTGGTCGCTTTTTATAAAAAATCTATTTACTCAAAGCAAAGGTTTATGCTTTATTTAAATAAAGTGCCCCTAACTAGAAATAATTAAGATAACCCACTTAACAATCAATTCTGATATGTATGAGATAAGTTTCTCATATCAATATAAACATCAGAGCTTGTCGCACTTCATCATTTGGCCAAACGGCCTAAGGCAATCTCGCTTTTCAGCTCATAAACCATTTCTATTAATTAACCATTTAAAACACGCATTTGCACATTTGCCATGGCCACTTAAACTGTGTCAACAAACAAAGAGGAATAATCGGAGAGTGCGACAGAGAGTTTGTCAACTTTTGAACAAGCCCTGGGAGTATTTAAACAATTATCGCTAAAGTGCATAAAAAAATATGTGTATATGTGCATCGATATAAACAGCTCAAATTTCGAGTGCTGAACGGGTTTGTTTATTTATTTATTTATTTATTCAGCCCGCCTTCCCAGTCGGGCGGATTCATCGATTGCGGTTGGTTTTGGCCCAGTGTGAAATCAGTTTAAGTCCTCTTTTGCCGGTTTTGCTTTGGCTCGACAGTTGCAGTTATTAAAATTACTCTGCAAAGTGATGCGCATTTATAATAATTTGCATATTAAATTATTTTCAATCGCAGGACAATGATTTTCATCATGAGTAGCGCCGACGCCAACACATATTAAAATAGCCTCAAAGACGCAAACAAACAACGTCAGAATGAAAATCGCAAAAAATCGAATTAAAAAGCGTTTAATGTGCCAGGGATTTAAGCCCGGTCGGCGACGTAGAACGGGACGTGTCATTATTTGCGATATATAATCTGCAATCGTTTGCCATTTTATCCCCAACTTTTTGTGATCATTAAGCGATGTTTTAATTTTTTTACGAAAACAATATTCGATTGAATAAAAATGGTTTTCAATGGAATTATGTGAACAAAACAACGAATTCCCGCAGGACACAGAAAATAAGAGTTATGTGTTGGCTTGGCAAATTGCCAACTGAAGGCAAATGAGCTGAGGG